GGAAAAATAAGTTCGTAATCCCTCGAAAATAAATCATAAGTGTTTGTTGTGTTTTGTGCTGAAAGGTTACAACTCGTGGAATGAAAGATGAGCATGAGAAATCGAAACTCCTAAGAGAGATCAACAAGGCTCTCAAGTCAATCACGAAAGTTCAAGTTAATTGTATTAGTATACACAAACTAGCATGACACCATGCTCTAAACTCAGTAAGTTGGAAAACACAACCTACAAGGATTTATGTTCTAGTAGTAACGTTACAAAAGCGTAATTTAAGACGAAACAATTGACAACATTTCACAGACTTCGCAAAACACTAACGAACTTGTGTCTTCATAAATAAAGCTCCCTCTAAACATTCATTTTAAGAAACAAAAAATGCACTTCACTCGTTGAAATTATGTTGGATTTCATCACAACTACAATAACTTACTTGACTGTTTGGGTTGAATTGGTACGACTGGATAAACTAACCAACAACTACTATTATAACACGACGCTTTAAGTAAATTTCAAAGTCATGACCAACAATTTTTTTATTCAGTGCATCAAAGCTAAAACCGCATTATGAAGATCCGAGTTACAAGTTGTGAGATTACAATGCCAGACAAAGTCCATTATTAACATGTGGTTTACAGCAAAGGTTACGTCTTTAGCCATCGAATTAAATCCTTTACCATAAATAATTAGCAGTTGTCCAGTGGTAGCCTTGTAAGGTTGAGAATGTTGTTTTCAATACAATTTGTTACCCTTCTAAATGACATGTAAAGTACATTTCCACGTACTTGCTGGATATTTTATGCATATGTATATCTACAAAAAGTTAATGGGTATTGGTTATTCATCCTAATATCTTATTTTATCATATTTTGTCGCACTAATTCCTTGACTAACAATATCTTATTTTATCATATTTTTATCGTCGCACTAATTCCTTGGTGAACAATATCATATTTTATCATATTTTTGTCGTCGCACTAAGTGAACAATATCATATTTTTGTCGCACTAATTCCTTGGTGAGCAATATCCTATTTTATCATATTTTTGTCGCATTATTTCCTTGGTGAACAATATCCTATTTTATCATATTTTTGTCGTACTAATTCCTTGGTGAACAATATCTTATGTTATCATATTTTTGTCGCACTAATTCCTTCGTGAACAATATCATATTTTTGTCGCACTAATTCCTTTGTGAACAATATCTTATTTTATCATATTTTTGTCGAACTAATTCGTTGGTGAACAATATCCCATTTTATCATATTTTTATCGCACTAATTCGTCGGTGAACAATATCTTATGTTATCATACTTTTGTCGCACTAATTCCTTGGTGAACAATATCTTGTTCTTTAATTGAGCGAAGCATTATAAAAATTGGGCATGTTGAATGAAAAAGAAAAGCTACATGTCCATGTGCTTTGGAAGTGGAGAACGTGGGGGTGGCAAGTTTAATTAAGATTTTCTTTTTGTATTTTATATTAATAATTACTAAAATGGAGCTGGACCCCGTCTCATTGTGGGATGGATTACATGAGTTAACAAAGTTGCTATGTAGATCCAAACAAGAAAATATTAAAGTCGATGTTTGATAGTTTATACACACACTAAAAAGGTTGATGTTTAATTTATGATACACTTAAAAGAATGATAAAATATAAATTAAAGTTAATAATTAATTTTAATCACATATTTCATTTTATCTATAATTTTTATAAAAAAATTTAACCACATATTTTATCAAAATTTTTCAAAATTTACTAAAAATTTGAATGATAAAATATAAATTAAAGTTAATAATTAATTTTAATCACATATTTCATGTTATCTATAATTTTTATAAAAAAAAAAATTAGCCACATATTTTATCAAGATTTTTCAAATTTTACTAAAAATCTGATTTTTTAACGAAATCAAACTAAGCAAACATTGAAATACTATACTAAAGGTCTGTTTGATTGCAAATGTGGAAAATAGGTGGAAAGAAAATGTTTTACAGGGAATTAATTGACCTAAAAATTATTTTACTATGAATTTAATTAATTATGTTTGATTTGTATAATTTTTCATGGAAAATGTTGAAAGTTTGGTATCCGTTTGACTTCATTTTTTATGAAATTTGTCGGTTGAAGTGATTTTTTTCCACCATTGGGTTTAGAATTTGTTTCAATTGGTAAAAAAAATTGAAAAAAAATTACCATACCAAATATCATTCATTTGATTTTGTTTTGCATGAAAATTGTCAATAAAAGTGATAAATTTTTTTATCATTTTGTCTAGAATTTTTCTCAATTGAAAAAAAAAAAAATTGGAAAATGAAAAACCTAAAAGGTGGGAAAACAATTTTTCCAATTTCATGGAAAATGTGCACGTGTAGGTGTAAGAGGGAAAAAATTTTCCACGGAAAATTTGTACTATCAAATAAGCCAAAAACTAGAAAATGGAAAAAATTTTCCTACTTCCATAAAAAATGAGAGTTATCAAACGGACCCTAATTGGTGTTAAAGATTATTGATGCACGTGTTTCGCTCTAAATAGAAAGTTCAAAGGCTCAATAACGGAGTATAATTTCAAGAATATTCCGAATTTAATTAACACGTATTTAGAACCCCAAAATTTAGAAAAATATAGAATTAATTCGATCAAGAGAAATCAAAAAGAAATTCTTATATGTGGAGGAATTTTTAAAAAATAAAATGTGGATGATGGGGTGTGCATTAATCAAGAAACGTGCCAGCCAACTCGGAGATAACGCGTGTTTATTATATTTAACAATTGAAACAAGTGATTTTAGGATGAATTATTTCTCTATTTATCATTACATTCTGTTTATGTATATATGTGCAATTTTAAACACAATCGAACAATATAATTATTAATATTAAATCTCACGTCGAATAAACATGAGATAAATGATCAATATATAATGATTTAGACTACTTCATTTAACAATTTTGAATTTTTTAATATGAATTTTCAAATTTCCATTAAACTCATATGACCATTCGAATTCCAAAATTAGTGTACTCAAACAAGACACAATTTTACGTCAACTGTGGTATCATTATATTCTAAGGGAGCTCGCACAACGGCACAAGTCCCCTATCAAAGGCATTTCCACTAATTTTGAATGATTTTACTATATGTGACATCTTGATGTACAACTCCTTCACAAGAGGGGGGTTTGCGATTTTTTTTATTGGGTGTGGACCCCCTATTGTGAGGAGGTGTACATCAGGATATAGCCAAATCCATTTTTGAATTGGGCTAAATTGATCAGACAAGTCCAAACTCCAAACTGGCTTTTCCATAGTCACTTGGTTGTTCTTGAGTCTTCAATAATTTTTTTCTTCCAAAATAATGCTTCCTCTGGGGAACATTCTGCATCATGTATAACCAGACAACCCAATGCAATGCGAATTTTTCAGTTTTGGGGACATTAGAGGTTCCACCGAGAACTCTCGTGTGTTGAAGCGGAGCAGTGTGTTCAGACACTTAGCGAGAAATGTCCTTTTTTTTTTTTTTTTAACAAATAGTCCCAAGTAACACAAAGCACATAATAGAAATAAAAGAACACTAGTAACTTTTTGCGCTTGGGCCCGGATGTTCACCCTAGAAAGAGACTAATCACCACGTTGAGCCTCCACCAAAGTAGTTATTGCTCTAATACACTAGAAACCAACAAAGAATATCAATACAAGTTTCACAGTACAAAAATCCAAACAAATTTAGCCCTCAAATCCAATTTCTTCCTCAACTCCGATTACACCAAGTAACCAAAGATTATAAACAGACCAAGAGTTTTTACTTTTTAGAGAGAGAGAACACAGAGAGCAAAAGAGAGAAAATCCTAGACAATCTCGAAGCATCTACCCAAAATGAAGAGTCGGCCAAATAATTGAAACTGTTGAAGCATCCAATGGTGACACCATCTCCAGTTAGCATCCTCACAACCGTTTAAAAATAACAAAGAAAGTTGCATTTCAGCAGAAAGTGAGAATACACAAATGGAAACGGGTTGTCGGGTTACATTCTATCAAATCGGCTGGACAACATTAATTTGGGCTGCATCATTGGGCCCAAAATGTTAAGCACAATGTTTAACCTTTTTTTTTATTCGAGAATTTGACCATTCACTTAGCAGTTTTCCGCAACTCTTGACCCCTCTTTTAGAACCTCAAGCTTGAAATGAGTAAATAATTCAGTCAAATTAGAGTACAAAAACAGAACCATTCCTTCTTTAAGACCATAACACAGGCAAAGTCCATGCCGATTTATTATGATTCGCCCTATTTTATGAAGAAAAAAAAGAGCTGACTGGCCTCCTAAAATCATTTTAAGTTGGGTAGTAGGGCTCCACGAATATCCAGCTGCGCAAAGTCGAGAGGATAAGTGTGTAGTATGGTTATGTTTGATGAATAACACTACAGGCCATGGCATTCGGAATCATTTTTATGAAGCAGATAGCATTATATAGAGCAGATGATCATCTTCTTAGCAGAAAAATTAAGGAAGAACATAAAACTTGTTTTGTCAACATAAGTGAACACAAATGTAATCACAACATCTTTACACGATTATATTTAACCTAGTTATCTAACGAAAAAAATATTTAAGGCAAAATCTCAAACGACATTCTCTAAACGAATCGCCTAGAACCATTTCCCACACCGAGGAATTCTGAAGTGCCTGTTCATTTTTTGAGTTGAAGTGTGGATCCATTTCTATACAATGGACACAAGCTTGCAAAATCTTTAATCTTGGAACTGCATTCTAAGTTTGCACATTGAATCTTTATTCTTTATATGGTGATGACAAAAAGAGCTCGTCTACTGTTAGCATCAGCTAACCCAGGGTTGAAGCATTGAGAAAAAAGTCCAGTTGTTTTGACTTAATTCCTTCCTGGCATCTTTGTCGTTCGTCCACCACTCACAGTTGATAGTCGACTTGTCTAAGACTTCTCCCTTTGTGTTGTCGAAATTGAAATCTTTGCTCGAACCTAGTGAGATTGTACGATGCTTCTGATCAAATTTATCGCTCTTCCCATGTGAAGCCATCCCAGAAACTTCATTTACAGTTTTCCTTGCAGAGTATTCACTGGAAACGTCCATGTTCTTTAACGGTAAATCCCTCCTAGTGTCGCCTTCAGCTACTTTATCCCATAGAGTTTCTGATGCAATTTTGAGTGATGCATCCGACTCCTTTACCACGCAAGTTGGAATATCTTCACCAGTCAGTTCAAATGAGACTCTATGATCAACTATGACTTCCTCATCCTGAGATCCACTATCTGAATTGGCAAGAGATGCGACTTCAGAAATTTCGCTCTCGAGAAGGTGACTGTCCCTAGAGGGTGGTTCTCCTCCATTAGGCGTCAAAGTTCCGGAACCTAATCTCGAAATCCCACCATTTGGTGTCAAAGTTCCGGAGCCTAGCCTTGAACCCCAACCACTTGGTGTCAACGATCCAGAACCCACTCTCGAACCCCATTTACGATTGGAGAAGTGTTCATAGCCGAGAAATTTGGGAACTTCCCCAATGCGGAACTCAATAACCGGACATTTATCAGGAAATGGCGAAGAGGTTCCCGAAGTAGAAAGGGCAGAGCCCGGTGATTTACTATGACCAACAGGACTTCCGGGGTATTGATAAGGCTTGAACTCGTACTGTGATAGTGAGAATTTCAAATTTGTCCAACTGTTCCTCCGATCCCGTGCCAATGATGATGTCAAAAGCTGAGCAAAAGGCACTTCTGGTGAAGAAGGTGTTGTTGTTTGAACTGGTTCTGGAGGGGGGGTGAAAGAAGCAGTTGATGGTTCAGTAGTGAAAGTAGAAAGTACGGGAGGTGAAACTAATTGAGTCTCGTGAGCGTAGGGCCCTACTGTAAAAATGGATGCAGTCCCACCCGGAGAGTACGCATTAATGGAAAGGGATGTAAGGGAAAGTAATCCGGATGGGGATTGCGTTGCGGAGGGAGGATCTGACTGCAAAAAATACGTAGGAGATGAGGGAGGGGCTATGAAGGGAAACAAAATGGTGGCGGAATGGTTACGATTATCAGCAACAGGGACTACAGATGCAGGTGCGGATGGTTCAGGAACAAGGACAGCATGACCAATTCGTTTGCTGTGTTTGTGAGAGCCAAAACACCAGTATAGACTCCAGAAGCTTCCCCATCTTCTCCTCTGTAGCGGATGAAGAAAAAACAAAAATTAATTTTTTAGTTGCATTAAAAGGATAGCCATGACAATCATTGTCTATAACCTTAAATGTCTCTAAAAGGAACATCATGATAACAAGCATGCGAGTATCTCGACTCATTGAATTGATTAAAGATGTTAAAGCATAGGATGAAAAGCCAAAAATTAGGCTGCATATCTCAACTTTACAATCCAAGTTAAAAACTTTCACCTGCAAACAAGAGTACACATTCTAACTCACTCCTGCGACAAGCCCAGCTCCCTCTTTTGTGGCACTAATGCTTTTTACGTTAGTTTCTAAAAGATCCTGTGATATTTGCAGAAAGCCTAAATCCAACATAAAATGGTGTGCTAGGATTTGACAATTTGTGTTTTGGACCTCACCATTAGATGCTGCTAATTTAGGCTATAGACTATTGAAATCATCTGGAATGAGCAGAAACCATGTCGTTTAAGAGCATCCTATTTGTCCTAAAATACATCAGAAGCTATATGTGTGGGCAAGATTTTGCATACGGTAGGCATAGATGTCTTTCGGAATCACAGCTTTTACCACAACAAATGAAAAAAAGTAACTTCGCCATTGTGGTTTTGAAGACAAACTTTAAATGAACTTCATATCTTCTACTTCAATAAATCAACAAAAATGGATTGTACTTAAGTCACCCATTGCTCCAAAAAGTTCGTGAACAAGGATAATTTCATTAACGCCCGTCGTTGTCAAAACCACTCTAAAGCACTCAATATAAGTTACAACTAGATACTATAAAAAAAAACCAGATTTTAGAATCTTTTTCTTTATCAAAAACAGTGTTTTCCACAACGGAGGAGGGTGGAAGCAAATCTGCCTTTCTGATTTTTCTAATGAAACTAGCCAGATAAACCAAATCATTGGAATCACAAACATGGAAAAATCACTGGAGATCAAAGGCCATTTTTTTTTCAACACTCACTTCATGATTAACTTTGATTTTCAAATTAAAATAATTTTGTGCAAAATAATCTCATCATTATTCTAAAAAAGTCATCTTTCAATTATTGCCTAATAAGCTATTTGTCCAGAACAAACATATTAAATCCACAACTTTATCTTTTAGCTGTAGCATAATTCTAAAATAATTCATAAAAGATAAAGCTTTAATCTTTTCCCCCTTTTTCTTTTCATTTTTTCATCTAATTCAAACTCCTCCATACCAAATCAATAGGACTATCTCATCATATCCGATTTTTTTGTGGAAAATAATCAATTTAATACCTATAAATCAAGAAAATTTAAAATAAACAGTATTTCACATACAAGAAATTGAGGTAAAGAAAGGAACCATGTACACATACATGAAAATACGCTTGACAAAGCTTTTTAAGCTCTGATACCATATCAAGTCCTTTTAATTTATATATAAGTATCATGTATGTATATATACCTGTATTGTAGATGGTTGGACTCTGATCTCAGCAGTGACTATGGCAGTAGCTGCAGCATTTACAGTCTCCACGCTGTTATGTACACTGCTCATGGTGGACTCTTCACTGTACAAAAAATGTAAAAACTTTTATCTTTCTCCGGCGAATTGCCGACGGTATGGCGTCAAGAGTGATATGCTTTCCGGTTGCGTTCCTTGTAAGTCAATGAATTATGAAGGAATCACATGAGATTTTCAAGAGGCTGACAAATACACAAAGGAACCAAGAAACGGAGCCTTTATAAATGAAAATCATATAAATATTTAGGTAATTGCATCTGTGCTCCCAAACCTTTCAAAATATTGCATATTTTTCTCTAAACTTTCATTTGTTTCATCTGTGGTCCTAAACCTTTCAAATTCGTGCGTCTGGAGTCCAAATGAATTGAAACAATCCATATTTTTATTAGTTGACCAAAAAATTGAGCTTGACAACAATTTTAATATTTTTATAAATGACAAAATAATAACTTTCTTTTTATCATGTTAAACAATTGAAGTAATTAAGTTAGAAAAAAAAAGACATAAAAGAAAATAAGACAGTATCTTCTTCCCCCGCCCTAAAAATAGAAATAATAAAATTGGTCACTGCCACCGACCACCCCAATCGCAATCGCCACCCAACCACTACCACCACTCTACCCCAAAGATACCATTTTCTTTTCTTTTATTTTTTTTCTTTTGATTTTTTAATTTAGTTGTTTTATTTGTTTAATGTAATAAATAGAAAGTTAATATTTTACCCTATATAAAAATTATTAAAAATATTGTCAAACTCATTTTTTTTTTTGGTTGACTAATAGAAATATGGATGGTTTCCATCCATTTGGACTCCAGGTGCGTCTTTGAAAAGTTTGGGATTACAACTTCAATAAATAAAAGTTAAGGGAAATATGCAATGTTTTAAGAAGTTTTGAGGCGTAGCTGCAATTATCTCATATATTTATTTTATTTGGTACCCCTCTATTTGCTGCACAATATACTGGGATCAAAAAATTACAAAAAACAAAAACCCACTGAGGTGCCATCTGTTTCTTTTCTTTTCTTTTTTTTTTAGGTTAGTATACGGCGCAAGATAGAACCAGAAACTATTAATGGCAAAACTGTCGCCAGGTGGATGAAGGTGCGCATTAAAGTAGCGTACTTTTACGGATATCTGAACTGCCGCGGAAATTTACTCCTTTCACGCGACATTCGTGTTCTTGCTTGGTGGCTAATTTATGTGATTCCTCTTTGATAAATTACTTATATATATAAAGTTTAAAAGTTATTAAAAAGTAATTTTTTTAGAAGTATAGTATACAACTTTCAAGAAAATCACTTATAAGCAATTGTTGTGGCTTTTAAATGCTTAAAAGTTGCACACATCATAAAATCAACTTAGATAAGTTATGAGATTTTTAATGGCAACAATATAGGCACATCACGTCGTCTAGTAGATATTATAAAATGTGCACATAGTAAATGGTAATAAATTGTTGATCCTAATAAATATATACATAGAAGTTATGTTTAAAAAAAAAAATTACGTTGTTTAGATATAATTTATAAATTTGTTTGATAAATTTAATCAAAGTCAATTATTAATTTCAACCATACATTCTGCATGATTCATCGTTATTCTTCTTTATAAATTAATTTATAAATTTGACAAGTGAATGATGCTTAAGCTCTCCAAACTTAAGGTCCAATTGGTGTGGTTCTTGAGAATTCAAAATGAGCTTTTGATTAGGCCTATGCATGGTTCGGATTGAGTTGGTTTCGAGTCCAACTCGATTGGACTCGAAACCAAAATCGATTTGGTTAGTTTAGGTAAATTCCAATTCAATCTGGTTGTTAAAATTAAACCAAACCAAACTACACCAAATCAATTTGGATCGATTTGATTTGGTTAATCGATTTGGACATTGGTACAAATTAAAAATAAATAAATTATCTACCTATTTTGAGTTTTGAAAAATTGTTTACACACACAGGTAGGTGTGTGTGTGTGTGTACACACACATATATGTATAGTTACCAACAAATAATTACACCTACATGAAAAGTAAGCAACGGTCTAAATTTGGAGTTTACAACAATTGATTCTTCTCCTTGCCTTTTTTTTTTTTTTTTTCCTT